ATCCTGAGAGGAGAATGGAAGAGAAGGGATTATGGCGTGGCCATCCCCTCTGGGGTGTGATTTCTCGCTTTCTATCTCTCTGTCTGTGTCTGTCTGGCGAGCACATGCGCCCTATAGTGAAAAACCTCTCAAAAAGAAAATTAAAAAAAAAGAAAAAGAAAAAAAACAGAGGACCACGCTGCCCCAGCTAAGCACATGGAGATGTCTGTCACCAAGGATTAAAGAATCAATTTACTTCTCTGAGTTGCCTCTTTTTTTTTTTTTTTTTCTTTCTTCTTTTTTTTTTTTTTGGAGAGATTTTCACTATAGGGCGCGTGTGCTCACCAGACAGACAGAGAGAGACATAGAGACAGAAAGCGAGAAATCACCCCCCAGGGGGGATGGTCATGCCGCAATCCCTTCTCCTCCATTCTCCTCTCGGGATCTTGGGCACGCACGCACACACGCCCGGCATGAGTTTTAAGCCACCGAGTCCAGGACATGAACCGTGGTCGACTACGTGGGAGTCCAGCGACATAGCCATTACGCTAACTGCCGGTTCCCTCTTCAGTCTTTCTGACATGTCATAAATTCTTATCACCCTTGTAGTTTCTATCACATGAGAGCCCTTTGAGATTTTCCCTGTTTATCCTTTGTTCACATACTGAAAAAGCTCATTCCTTGACTCTGGTGTGGTTCCTTTCTCACAAGAGAAGTTCTAGGCAGCTCTCAGAGGCTGAGCAAGGGGCCACAGAAAGCTGAGAATATGGAAGCTGATGTTGGAGAAGAGAGAACTTTCTGCAAGACAGGAGGGGAAGCTTTCTGAAGGATTTCTGAGACAGGAATCTGGGCAAGACTTACGGTCCTAACATCAGGACACCCCTTCCTCCTTGCTCTCTGACACTCACTTAGTGCTAAAGCCATTTAGGTTCTTCTTCATACTGTTTCTATTGAAGGGAAGGCCTGGAGAGTAGACCCATTATGAGTTTGCACAGATGATTTTAACTGAACACAAGATGGAACACTTGGTGAGGAAGGTTGGAGAATCCAGATTGTCCTCCTTTTTTCCAGTGAGCTGTTGATACTTCTCATGGAAGACATAGAGAATTGAAATTTTCTTTTCGTTTCTAAATTAAGAATATGTGATACAGGGAATCATGATTGTCCAGAACAGCTGTCTACAATCTAAGCCTCACTCAGGTTTTACATTTAATCTCGGATTTGGCTTAGACAAGACAGTCTGAGGTCACTCTTTTGACTGAAGCCAAACTGAAAATAGCAGAAAAAAAAAAAAACAAACAATAAAGAGCTTCCCTAAATTACCCTTCTCCCTCTACTCTTCTCCTGGCTCAAACTCTCTGAAAAGTGAATTTACATGACTCCTCATCTTTTGCACAGTAGACTCTCATCTTGACCTCTCTGTCTTGTCCAACCTTGTAGTATCACACAGAGAAAAGATACAAACACAATGGAATCAGCTTAGCAGCATCCTGTACAGGAAAAGGAAGAGAAAATGCAAGGATTGAAGAAAGGAGAGAAGACAAAGAATACCCTGGCAGGCTGAGGATGTCCTGGGTAAACAAAGCCAGTGGATCAAAGAGCTCATCTAGGATATGGAGCATTCAAGGCCGAATGTTACCTATGGAGGTACTGCAGGTAAGAAGGATGCCCAGTCCAATAGTCTGAACATAGCCTGTACCTTTTTTCCTGTGTCCTTGGGCTCTCATCCTGGTCTGTTAGGGTTTCTTACTTACCCTTGTAATGCTTCTGCTTTGTCATCCATTCCAGATATCTGGGGAATGACTGAATAAAAGGATTCCAGGAGAGTGTCTAATTTTTATTAATTATGAAGTAAGGAAACACATTTGATCTTGGACCGAAGTTCTATGTCACTTAGTGATAGAGAACCCATGTGATTGGTGACCTAGAGCTGGACATTTGCCAGGATTCTCTTTACTTAGCTTAGTCGCAAGTCGACATGGGCATTTTCAGTTTGAATATACTTTTAAAATTTTAACAAGTGTCTCCTGTCATTTTTTAAAAATTTGAATTGATAGTAGATTGAGTCTTATTTTTGGAGGATGGTCAGATATTTACATAGGTAATGTCATACTTGAGTGGGGTGTGTATGGTTGTATGTGTGAATCAGGAAAGAATAATCTTGCACTTTTAAAGAGATGTAATGTAATATTTTGAACTATTTTTAAGCTTTAAACAGTTTTTAAAAAATTGATTTATTTACATTTTGAACTACTGTTAAGTTTTAAACAGTTTTTAAAAAATTGATTTATTTAATTTTATTTTTTCTTTTCTTCTTGAATTTGACTAGATACAGACAGTGGGAGAGAGAGAGAAATGGAAAATGAAAAGAAAGCTGCCAGGTCTGGGACTTGAACCATTGTTGGCCATTGTACATGTGGTAGTCCAGAGCCTTAACCACCATGCTGCCATTGTCCATGTGGCAGTCCAGAGCCTTAACCACCATGCCACCTGTTGGCCCCCAAACATTTTTTATTTCTTAGAAAATTCTCATTGTTGCTGTGATTCAGGAGGTTCTGTAGAATTTAAGGAAGTAGAATTGTCACACTTTGTTGTTTGAGTCTCATCTATCTGTGCCATATTACCAATCATTTTCTCAGGAAAATCCTAAGGTTTAGCAATATAAGATGGTATGATTGCTACTCAGAGGTTCAGAAATGATGGGGAGGGGAAAAGTTCTAAAATGGATACACAGGAAGACAGTAATCTATAGTTATTCACTGAACATTTGATGCCCAGGTGCCTTTTTCATTCTTTTACTTTGAAAAAGAATTGTATCTGTGAGCACCTCATAGAATTTGTATTCTTTTTGCCAGCATGATTAACTTCTAGGGCAATAAGCCTGTTACAAAGTAGACATCCCTGAGTGTGAAGATCTTTCTGTTGTATATACAGATTCATGTCTTTATTTCCTTGTAACTAGGTACTTCATTCTGATCTGAGACACTAGGACTTCCAGTAGATGAAAAGTCATAATGTCATTGGAAGATCATTTGTCAAAATGCAAGATAGTGCAGTCTGCTCCCATTGACTAAGAGCCACAGTCCATTGTGACAATAGGGTGAAAAGAGAGCAAAGATTTCGCCAGTTTCCATGGATGAGTGCTGAGGAGGGATATGAGTACACACACACACACACACACACACACACACAATCAGTTGAGAATTCCTTGTTCATACAAAGATAGATACCTTGGATTTCTTGGGACCAAGCAGAGTCAAGAGTAGATACTCTTTGATCAAGTAGGCCATTAAAAAAGAAAAATTCAGGGCCAGGCCAACAGGTGGTGATGTGGTTAACACACAAGACTCGTGGTTAACACACAAGACTCCTACTTGGCCAACTGTGGTTTGAGTCCTGGATCTGGCAACTTAACAGTCACTCCAGGTACATGTGTGTACATGCCTCAAAGCCCAAGAGGATGATAGAAAAGAAGGGATTGTGGAGTGGACATCCCCCAAAAGGATGAATTCTAACTTTGTCTCTCACTGTTCTTCTCCCTCTCTCTCTGGGAGCACATGCACCATAGGGAAAAATTCTTAAAAAAAAAAAAAAATTCAACTCAGAACTAATTGGGTTTTATTTGGAAATAAAAATTGCCAGAAGACATGAGGATCTCACCTAACCCCGCATGAATATCCACTGCAAAAGTAATTTCCCTCCTTCTCAGTGAACAAGAATACACTTAAAAGTATTTAAATACTTTTAAATTCACAAACATTTGTTCTAAAATTTTTCAAAATTAAATAAACATCAGTAATTTTTAGTTTTAGAGAATTATTTACTCAGTTTTATTTGTTATTATTGTTATAACTCTTTTAATTTAACAGAGACAGAGAGACAAGGAAAGGGAGAAAGAAAGGGACCACCAGGTCTAGGACCCAAACATGGTTGACCATGTGAGAATCCAGTGTTTTAACCACCATGCCACACGCTGGCCCCCAAATCTGTAATTTTTAAAAAATGATATATTTATTTATTTTATTTGATATTAGTATTTATGTTTTAATCTTACCAGAGAAAGACAGAGAGAGAGAGAGAGAGAAAGTGAGAAAGACAGCGATGAACCCCAGTCAGCCACCTAGCCACCAGGCCACGTGCTGGCCCCCAAAATCTGTAATTTTTAAATCAAGTTGATCTATTGCATAAAGATAGTTTAATAATTTTAAAAATCCTGACCAGCAGTTGGTGTAATGGCTATGTTTTTGGACTCCCGTGTAGTCGACCACAGTTTGAGTCCTGGACCCAGTGGCTTAA